CCTATAAACATAACTCAATGACTATTTATAAAAAAATACAAATTAGATAACTGGCACTGCGGCAACAATCTTTCGAATGTCGTTATACGAATATTTTTTCTCCACCGTGGTGCCTACTAACATGGAATAATTACTTAGTGAACAATCACATCGTTTCCCTGACAAATTGTGTCCTTTGAAAGTTATAACTAGTATGTCATGGATCTGCATAGTTTTGAGTGTTGCGCGACCAGAATGTCGATTTTGACACCGATGCGTGATAAATTGTGATGCCATAGTACTTGAATACATTGAATATGGTGCCACCAAGCTGATCATTTTGACGCTGCGCCATTGTCAAACAGAGAAGTCTGCATCGCCATGTCAAGATTGTGGCACTCTGGTTATGTCCTTGATGTCGTTGTGACGTTAATTAGTATAATGCTATGGTGCTCGATGATGGTTAAAAATTGATATATGTTTTGGCATTTTTCTGCACAACACAACTAAAAGAATACATTTTCGCTGAAAACATAATACATAAAATAACACATTATTTAGACTTATCAATTATAGAGCGTTTCCTATCATATTTCTCGGATTCAAATAGAATATCAAAGGTTTATGATCCCTTATGACTTCCTTTTGTTCTTATAGCATTATAATATACCTTATATATACATAATCTCAAAGTAATTTGACATCTTATCTCTATCTACAAATATAATTTAATCATATAATCATATTTTTCATCACATTATAGCTGTTAAAGTATAATTGAGCACTTGTTCGAATTGCACAGTTTTTTATAACGATAGATAACAAAAAATCCTACTAAATCAAAACTTATATTTTTAATAAATAAACAAACTAATAGGGATTATATAAAATAATAATTTAAGACTTTTATCATATTACAATACTATTTTTCTAAGTCAATATAACTTTTTATTCAATAAAAAGCTCATAAATTTCAAAACCCTTGTTGCAAAATTTTCATAAAATATTCGAAATATTCATAATATTAATCTCTATAACATATAAAAAGTTACACGATGAAAGTTTTATAAGTGCAAAATTATTCATATTTTTTGCTAAAAAATATAAATTTAATAAAAAAATTCGTAAAAATTACTTATTTTTGTAAATTGAGATAGGCGTGGTGTGATCAACCTCGAGATGAACAAGTCTTTTAACTGGGCTGACCGAAAAAAATGTATCGAAATTGCCTAAAATGTAATTTCTCTTTTCTTACTCAAGTCTTTTCTCTCATTTACTTTTTCCTATTCTTTGTTAATGAAAAACGAGTGAAAATAAAAACTAATTGCATTTAATAACTTCAGTGACTTTAGAATTTTTTTTATAATAAAATATTTAAATGACTTAAACATAATTATATTAATTATTCAACTTTTAGTCTAAAATCTTTTTTATATCTTTAAATCTCAAGATTTAAAATTACAAAAGAATACTCATAAATTAGCTAAGTTTATCTAAAATATTCTCGTAAAATTGGTTTACAAAATGAATAACTAACGGTCCCAAAATTTCTACTTGTACCGACAAGTATCAATTTCTTAAAAATTTTATCAATGTCAAAAAATTATGAAAAATTTAGTGAAGCTAAAACATAATAATATTTATGCTATGACAAAGACGATTTGTGATTTGAACTTATAATTACAATTGAAATAAATTTTTATTATTCTAGGTCAAAAAATTTCTTAAAAAAAGTAAGGTCTTTCACATAAAATACTTACGAGAAGGTACCTACACAAACAATCATATGTGTGCCAATGCAATATCAACTAATAAAATATAAACTTATTCAACGACATAATGATGCTAATTATGTGTAGAATTTAGTTGGGTTCTAATGTTGACTTAAACTTCAATTCAGTCGGTCGAGCTCTTTGGGGGTTGCAAGGGGCCTTCCTATGCTTTGGGTTCGAGGGCCTTGCCCACTCATGCAATTTTTCCATACCATCGTACAATACTACGGTGCTGTATATTTAAGCGCTACAGTGCTGTACACTCGTGATGACTTAGAGATAGAGAGTGGAGTGCCGTGACGCTCAAGGTATCGACACTGATAATTAGACTGGAGATAGAGAGCAAAGCACCACATAACTCTAAACTTAAATGCTGTGGTGCTGCGAGTACGAGGGTGGGTTGTGGGTTGGGTTCGTGTCGAATTTGATATTGACCAGCTGCTATTTGACATGACACGAACTCGACCCATTTTTATAAAAATGTTAGAAATTTCAACCCGGACCTGACCCGACCCACTAGGTTATCGGGTTGACCCAAACTTGAGGTGTAGGGTCCAGTGTGGAAGTCTAATTTGGGGTCCCCCTCATACATGTGTAGGTGAAGCGGAAGTCCGATGCAAACGTGCAGATGTCCGATGCGGGCTCTAGGGTTCGAAGCGGTATTGCCGGGGCACGTGGGTGCGGGCTTGGGGACAGATTGTGAGAGCTCGTTCCTTTGTTTTTCTCTTTTCTGGATTAGATTTTTTTTCCTCCCAGGATCGTCCAGGCCGATTGTAATATCAGTTTTTGCTCCAGGTTCGTCCGGGACGAAGTTGGATCGTCCGGGACGATCGGTACAGGTTGTGCAGAAAATCAGTTTTGGTTGTATGATTCGTCGGGACGAAAATTGGATCGTCTGGACGAAAATTCTCCCGTGAACCCTTCGCCAGGGACGATATGTCATTTTTCGTCTGGACGGAATTCCTCTCTTCATGGATCGTCCGGTACGAAGCTCGTTCGTCCGGGACGATCAGTCTGGATATATATAGAAATGAGATATTTTGAAGAGAGAGAAAAAGCTGAGGAGAGAGAAAAACGAAGGAAAAAGTGGAAAAGCGGATTTTCGGACGACGCGGAGCCGTTTTCGCCCGAAGTGGCTGTTGAGGAAATTGCTATGCTCGAGGTAAGGCACATTCCGCCTTTCTCAATTTTCAGAACCGTCGTGTTTGGCGGTATATTCTGTCCGGATTTCGTTTTCGTTAATGATTTTTGTCCGTATCTGTTGATTGGCTCAGTTTTTACCGCGTAACTTTCTGTATATTGTTGACGTGCCGAGTGTGCACATTTTGGTTATTTAATGCAATAGAATAAATCACTGTGCTGAGAAATGTAATAAGAGCATAGTAGTTATTTAATTATTTAAATTAATGAGCAGATAAATAAATTATAATTCATATCATTAATGGGGGTACTATGGAGGGCAATTTTAAATTATAAAAATATTTAAGACTCTATCTCTCCTAAATAATACTTAGGGCTTCTTTGATATATAAAAATAATAAGTATATATATAATTTAAAATTGCTATATATAAGTATACATATAGAATCAAGTAATAAATTGATAGAATAGAGTGACAAACTCATGAGAAAGTATACTTTTGAACAATCAACTACTATTGTTTACTATAATTACAAAATTATTCTATTAAAATAAAATTGTTAGTTGTGGAGATTCAATCACATCATGTTTACTTTAATTATTTCGAATGTCGTTATATGAATATTTTTGCTCCACCGTGGTGCCTACTAACATGGAATAATTACTTAGTGAACAATCACATCATTTCCCTGACAAATTGTGACCTTTGAAAGTTATAACTAGTATGTCATGGATCTGCATAGTTTTGAATGTTGCGCGACCAGAATGTCAATTTTGACACCGAGGCGTGATAAATAGAGATAGAGAGTGGAGTGCCGCGACGCTCAAGGTATCGACACTGATAATTAGACTGGAGACAGAGAGCAAAGCACCAGATAACTCTAAACTTAAATGCTGTGGTGCTGCGAGTACGAGGGTGAGTTGTAGGTCGGGTTCGTGTCAAATTCGATATTGACCAGCTGCTATTTAACATGACACAAACCCCCGACCCATTTTTGTAAACATGTTAGAAATTTCAACCCGGACCTGACCCGACCCACTAGGTTATCGGATTGACCCAAACTTAAGGTGTAGGGTGTGACGCCCCAGGCATCCATAGTGAAAGGATTCGTCTGACAGTCTCGATCAATCTCCATTCCTGCTCCTTTGCTCGGACCTGAAATTGTTAACCACATATAATGAGCTTTACAAAGCCCAGCAGGTCACCTAATACCTATAACTGAAATCAAAGCACGACGATGCTATCAATATGCATGTCAATCTATCAATCTGAATCAGTCAATCTTGGCTTGTGGGGTTGAGCTCGAGCACATGTGTGAATAGTGTAGGTGCAGGGTGGACGCAGGGTAGGACTCGTGCGTGTGTGGGATGTGGTTGGGGGGGGGGATCCGGGTTAATTTTGAGTCCGAGTCGAGTTTCCAGGTTGGCCCGAACTCGACTCAAAATTCAAAACGGGTTGAACATCGGGATCCGAACCCGATCTGTTCTTAAACCTGATTGACTCTAACTCAAAAATTTTGGGTTGAGTTCGAGTTAGGTTTTCATGTCGTGTAAATTTTCAACACCCATAGCTAAAGTCAAATTGGGCAATTTTCATTTTCATTTTTCAAGTTTAACTTGAAGGTTTGCCTTTTTACGAATTATTGAAATACGTCTTTTTATATTTTCTATGAAGAGAACAATACATGTGTGAAGAGAGACAATAAGTGAACGAGAGAGAAGAAAAAATAACACAATTTATTGTAATTTTCATAGCAAATTTTTGTTGTGGTGAGGTTCAGTAGTTTTTCTTAATTTTAATTTTTTTCACGTTAAATTCTAATTTTCTTTCTTATTTGATGTATTTTCTTTTCCTTATTTTATTTAACTATGTGATTTTACGAGTTCAACTCATTACAGGTAGATAGATGTTTGATCTGTCACAATTATTCCTATTTAGAAAGCACTTTTTATAACATCAATGAACTTATCTCAAAATATAAAATCACGTGGGTAATGTTTATTGTTATAAATCATATTGAGAACGAATTCCTTTACAGTCGAAGAATGATACACGTGATGTGAACAATATAAAATACAGCATTAGTTAATTATTCAATTAATCGGGATTTATCACGCGGTCGCTCGACGTCCACTTTTAACAAAGGAGGCGGGAACATAACGGCCGTACGCGGGGTGGCGTGCGGTCGCTCATCTCGCTCTCTTCCAAGCAATCACTGTTGCTCTAGGTTAGCTTCATCCAGAAACGAAACCAGTGCCCTAACCCTAGGAAATAGGAATTCATGGGGCAAACGAAGAAGCTCGTTTTGGAGAAGAGGGAGCTCGGCAATACAGGTCTCAAGCTGAGCTGCGTCGGCTTCGGAGCTTCCCCACTAGGCAATGTCTTCGGCCGCGTCTCCACAGAAGAAGCCCTCGCCTCCGTCCGTCGTGCTCTCGACCTCGGCATCAACTTCTTCGACACTTCCCCGTTTGTTCCCTAACCCTCTCGCCACCTTATGATTTTCATGCTTCCGTATCTCACCCACTTTGCTCTCTACTTAGATACTACGGCGCGACGCTCTCAGAGACGGTGCTTGGTGACTGCCTTCATGAGCTCGGCGTTCCGCGCGACGAGATCGTCATCTCCACTAAATGCGGCCGCTACGCCGAGGGCTTCGACTTCAGCGCAGATCGCGTCACCCGTAGCATTGATGAAAGTCTCAGCAGGCTCCGGCTCGATTACGTCGACATCCTCCAATGTCACGACATCGAGTTTGGATCGCTCGAGCAGATCGTCAATGAGACTATCCCGGCACTTCAGAAGCTCAAGGCCGCAGGGAAGACTCGCTTCATTGGGATCGCGGGATTACCTCTGGAGATCTTTACTTATGTTCTGGATCGAGTGCCGCCGGGCTCGGTGGATGTGATTCTTTCCTATTGCCATTATGGAATAAATGATTCTACTCTTCTGGATCTGCTCCCTTATCTGAGGAGCCGAGGGGTTGGGGCGATTACCGCATCCCCTCTTGCAATGGGGCTTCTGACTGAGAATGGATCGCCAGATTGGCACCCTGCTTCACAAGAACTGAAGGTAATTCATTTTTTTCTCTTTTTTTTCGACAATTATATAGTTGGAAGAAATATTATACTATTTTTTGGGCAGAGTTGATTTTCATGTGAATGATCGTCTTTTTGGAATGGGGCAAGTGTTATAGGGGCTAAAATTGTAAGAAAAATAATAAAATACATCGGGCTTGTAACCCATTAGTATTGAAGCTTACCATTAAAGGCTAGATTTGGAGTTTAGATCTTTAATTCTTTATAAAAAGGCAAATAAACGTCAAATTTGGCGCGGACAAATCTTATGAGCCATGAAATAAAAGAGATCCTTCGGTTTCGGCATTATTTTGGCTTATAGTTTTCAGCATTCATAGCATTTTCCTGTGGAATGAGTGGATGATTTGTGCTTTTATGCTGTTATTAGAGGGATGAATCAATGATGAAATACGTTAATTCTGATTAATTTTTGCTTCTGATTATTGTTTTGGTTGTTTTTCTTTAACCGTATTATTGCTCTTTGAACCATTCCAGTTAGATGGATTTGAAATACTTCAAATTACTGCAATTAGTGGTCTGGGTAGTATTTGAACCATTTGATTGACTTGATATAGTACATTAAAGGCTTAATAGGAAAATAATTAACTGCACTCAAACAAACTTTGTTTTTTTATTTTTATTTTTTGGACCGTTGGACTAATTAAGGCAAACTCACACACAAACTACATATGCAATTCTCAAACTCAATCCCTCTTGGTTGGTAGTTAAAGCTACCAACAAATAGACCAAAGTGAGTTGGGTCAGTTCAAGAAACCGGCATCTATAAACTGGACTCTTGCTGTTCTCTCAAATTGCTGTTGGAAAAAAATTAGGCAAGGAAATCTTTATCAAAATTTTGATTATGATGGATCTTTTCTGTTTCTGAATTTATTTTAAGATGTGTATAAAATATAAATAATAATTATTACATTTATTTTAAAGCAGATTATTCTTTTATCAGAATAATCTAATATAAAATTTTCCATTGCTATTGTTGGGATGGCCTGATACCTCCATTTCGTTGACATATTCGTCTACTTAGCTTGCCTTGCCTTCTCTAAATTTGCTTTGAAAATTGAAACCTCTCTTAACATCGAAGCATAATAACTATAATTTTTCAATAGAATAGATATGAAATAGTATTATAAAAAATGAATGTGGTCCATGATGATGATTTTTTTTTTTTGTGAGGATTAGATTAAAAAAGAGATTTGGATTGAAATCTGTGGACGACTGTGAGGAATAAGTCGTTTTTTTATTAAGATGTTCTCTTCTTGATTTTATTTGGCACATTTATTTTTGGGGCATTGTTCCGTATAAATGACGTGATTGACTAAGCAAACTTTGAAAGCAGGTTTTTTTTAAAGGCGGATATAAGAAATTGTTTGCAATTTATAGTATTTTTTAGAAAAATTATTACATGCGGAGTCCGGACTTAGAGCTCCAATTCGTGGTTGACACATTTTTTTGGTGAATTTATTTTTTGTATTATGTAAGCATTCATGCATTTATGATTTTTTTTTCAATTAAGAATCACTGAAATTGTTTAATTCATGTCAGACCTACGCAAGACAAAATTACAAAGCCGTAAGCAATTTGTACATAGAGCATAGTAACCAACATTTAGTCCAGGAAGCCAAATTCATTCTGCTAACATTATGTCACGAACGACACTGGACATTTCTTGTAAGAGTCCTTAAGGAAAAAGTCTAGCCATTCTTTAATTATTTGCCCAAAGCCACACACATGTCTATTCTTTCTATCGTCGTGAATAAATTCTATGAGAACGTGGAGGGCTCATTTGATTCAGATATATGAAATTGCCTATCAAGATTGCTAGCGGTGTGCCAACCTAGAAAAACAAATTGATTGCGGCATATTTGTTTGCAAGTATATGGAAGCATTTGTCTAGCGTGAAGTTGTCGGCTAGGCCGAACATCAAGATTGACAAGATAAAATGACATAATTTAGAGTGGAACTGGCTTATGCCTTATTATGTTCTACTGCAAAATAAAATCTTTATTTTGTACAAAGCTGTTTTTCATTAATTTATTTATTTATACAGTTTTTACATTCATCACTTTGTACAACTTTATGCAATAATATTTATTTATTAATTTACATTCATAACTGTGTACAATCATACAATTTTTTAAAAGAAATTCATTTATACAGTTTTTTTTATATAATGATTTTTGGAATAATATTTTTTTAGTAATATAAATTTATATGGGTTACCACAGTATATACATTATTCTATACAGTATGTACATGATTATCACAATCTTGTACACATAGTTTACAATCTTGTACACAGTGTGTATAAGCTTGTATTATACATTGTTCTACATAAAGTGTACATGATTATCACAAGCTTGTATACACAATGTACAATCATGTACACTGTGTGTACAAGCTTTATACATTTTTTTATCTAATGATCATTGGAATAATATATTTTTAGTAATATAAATTTATATGGGTTACTACAAAATGTACATCACTCTACATAGTGTGTACATGATTACCACAAACTTTTACACAGTGTACAGGATTGTACATTGTGTGTATAAGTTATATATATATATATATATATATATATATATATATAATGATCATTAGAATAATAATTTTTTAGTAATATATTACATGGGTTATCACAATATGTACATCGCTCTACATAGTGTATATGATTACCATAAGCTTGTACACAATATACAATCCTGTTCACGGTGTGTACAAGCTTATACACTATACAAAATTTTACAGTGTGTATAAGCTTGTGCACACTATATACAAGCTTTATATATATTTTTTTATTTAATGATCATTGAAATAATATATTTTTTAGTAATATAAGTTTGCATGGGTTAACACAGTATGTACATTGTGTGCGTTGTACACAGTGTACAAATTTTTACGCATATCGTGCATACACTATTTTTTTACAATTTTAATATCAATTATTACAATTAATAATAAATGATTAATTAACTTTCAATTATATTTACAATGAAAAATGAATGGTGATTGAACCATAAAAAATTACAAAGAACAATCAAATTTTGCAATTATTTTTCAATAAAAGATTACTACAACGAACAATCCATTTTTTCAATGAACCATTAACAATTACAAAGAACAATCAATTGTTACAATTATTCTTCAATAGAAGATTAATCAATATTACAAAGAATCATAAATTTAAAGCCAATGTCACTTTGATGCAATGATATCCATTATCATCCTCATGTACTTAGATGCCGGTTGACTGCTACTTGACCTGTGTATGAACTCCTCGCTGAAGCATGCAGACAAATTAGAGAGCGTGATCTGCTTTGAAGGTGAGCACTCTCCCGATGTAGTTGCCTCTTGGAAAGGAATTAAAGTTGAACGCTTTTCAGTTGCGGTTGTATCTACTGAAGAAAATTGTTAACATCGTGTATAAGTGGACGATCGGTGTACAAACTTGTACATACTATGTTCAGTCTTGTACACACTGTGTACGAGGAGGTCTAAAAAGTTTAATCTTAGGCTTTCTCTTCTTTTTCCAGTGACCCTTCAATCTAACATTAGAGATCCCTTTAAGTCTGCACTTTGGTGGGTCTTTCAATTTTATATCCAACACTGTGTATTGCTTAATAACTTATGATTATTTCTCTTGATATCATGAATCATGTTAATATTTTCAACCATGTCCATCACTGTAGTCAGCATGTACTATCATGCCTCATTCTCCTATGCTTGTAAGGCAATTTAATATGAGAATCTACTAATATGATTTTTGAATATAAATCCACTACCAAATTTAGATGTCTTTCCTATACCTATGAACATGTGGCCATCATATATATCTTTTTTAGCTTTTGCTGACCATCACAGTAGTAGGTACTTCTCAGGGATATTCAGAATATCTAGCTGCCTCAAAACTCTCATGCAATGAGAACATAAAAAATCCATCATCTCAAACTTCCCACATGTGTATTGAATGCTACCCTTTTTTATATCGAAATGAATAACCAAAGGGGTCAATTGATCCTTATTCTTTGTGCTCCCAACGAAAAATTTTGAAGAATCACTTGAGGTATACTTTGTACTCATCCCACTTGCATCATATAAAAATTTTTCCTAAAAAAATAAATAAAGCTTTCTTGAGTAAAATTGAGCAGCTTGATTTAATATTGGGTTGTTTTTTATTACAAGTACTGTTGTAGATTAATTGCATTTATAATCTTCATCTGTTCATTCAGGCATCATGTTGTCATCATCTTTTCTAGGCCCAGAAAACAACCAGTTATTGAACTTGTTGGCTTTGATATGCCATGACACACATTATTTGTAGTATGCTACCTTGTGCGGAAAGAATGCACATGTTAAAACAATCCTTATTGAATATTGTTGACCACTTATTTCTTATCCTAGAAAGCTCATTCAACCAACCATTGCTATGGAGGCTCCCTTCTGTGATTATTTCAGCTCATATTTTGTCGAACTACTCCTCAGAGTTACACTTCTTCAAACATTTATAAAAGAGTCCTCTGATTTTGTCGTTGTTATTGAAGCACCAAACTTTTGGTGGAGCCTTCTTAGAGGTGCCATTGGCACAGTCTATGATGTGTGCTAGGTGATGCAAGTTCTATAGCCCTAGTCATTGCCTGGTCTTGATCAATAAATTTTGCTATTGGATTTTTGTCACCCATTATTTGTACAAATGTTCTAAACAGTTACATAAATGATTTAATTATTTTCTCTGACAAGAAAGCCACTCAAGTAGAATGTTCTGTCAAAGATTACTAATCCCGACAAATGATGCACATGCTAAATTATATTTATTAAGCCTATAGCCAGCATAAAAAAATACTATATTTTCAAAACAATCATAATCTATATGCCAATCCCATCAACAAAAAAATTTCAACAATCAATCAAATTCATCAATTTGGGCATCCCATGCGAACATAGGGTCATCAACTTGCCAATCTTTAAATAATTGAATTAAAAAATTAGTGTCTCCATATTGAATTTTTGCTCATTTCTCTTTTTAAATGTAGTTGTAAGCATCTCTTTTAGAGAATCCAACATTCTCAATCCATCTAACTTCATCGATAAGGTAGGAAAAAGTATCTAGAATTCTAATTCCAGCCTCTATCATTGTTTTAAGAACTAATACTTTCTCATCACTTATGTTCCTATATGATCTAAGCAGATGTTTGTCTTCTGGCATAACTAAATCATGATTGTGATTTTCTATAAATTTATACACCTTCCAATTTCCATCTTCATCCACTATATACCTAATCATAGCTAGACAACCCGTTCTGGTATCTGATTTTTGATATTTCATTTGTAAATTTAAATCAGGACTCTTTTTGAAACTAGATTTTAAATAGACAAAGTTCTTAGATCTTATCTTTCTAGAATTTGGCTAGTAACCATGTTCCTTGCAAACACTAAAACTAGTATTATGTGCATACTTGTAGTACATCTTGTATGTCTCATTCTCACACTTGTACACATCCTGTGTACAATGAAAAAAATATTAAGTGGAAACACTTCACAAGTGTGCGTATAACATTTTGAAATAATTTTATGTATACACAATGTACAACTTGTACAAATTGTAAACAGTGTGTACAAGAGATTTAATACACACTGTGTTCAAACTTTAAATAATGTGTACAAGAGATTTAATACAAAATAGTTTGTACAGAATATGTACAAGTTAATTAATACAAAAGCTTATATAAGGAGCAGGCGATTTTTCAAAAAATTCAACGAAAACACGAATTGTGTACAAGTGCAGAATGCATTGAAAAGTAAAACACTATAGAAGTCATTGAGCATGGTATATCTAAGCGGAAATGTTATCTACTATTTCAATCTTTCTAACTGAACTTCCAAAACTTTAAAAAATGGAAAGAAAAAAAAATTACCACGCATGTCTACTCTATTTGAGGCATTTGTTATAAGAATAAATTGAAGAATACAATATATTCTCTAAAAATTTACTGATAAGTTTAAACCTACAACTACTCCAACCAAATTGACTTCCCGTTCATCCAACCTTGCAATCTACACACTATCATGTAAAGTCTCCATGGTTGGCTGCAGTCTTCTTATCTGAAAGTTTTCAGCCTCCGCATCCTTTGAGCATATATTCTCTTTAGAGAATTGAATGTCCTCCAAAGTAGTCTCTATCTTCTACATCTGTTCCTCCAAAATTTTGAGGACGACTCGCAAAAAAGTTTTATTCCATGAAAACTCTAAATTTTGAGAGCAAGTTGCGGGTTTTTTTTTCCAGAAAAATGAGTGTCATGTAAAACAGTTAGGTCTGATTGTCGGCTCACGCATTATTAAAAAAATTCACCTGGTTGCAGAAAAGAAATTCACCAAAAAAACACGTGTCAACCATGAATTGGAGTCCGGACGTAGCTCTACATCTGGACTCTGCACAGAATAATTTCCCTTATTTTTATTTATTTTTGTTGCTTAATATCGATGATGTTGCCTGTTATCAGACAAAACAAAGTTGGCAGGCTGATCGGGTCTGAGTGCACACTCACAAAGAGCTAAGCTTTTAATTTTTGTTGGCAATTAATTGACTTCGAGGAAATGTGTGACTCTTCTAATTTTTTCCAAATCTTTATCTTGGGAGAAATGCAGACCTAGCAGCAAAACAAAGCTATTTTTTTGGTCAAAAGCAATGAATTACTGTTTTAGCCTTATATTGAACACATGAATACCTGGAGGAAAAGTGAGGTTCAGTTTTTAAAATGATTTTAGAATTTTGTCAGATTTTCTTATTGTATGGCACAACTCGTAGGTTCTAGAGCAATGTAGGCACTTTATAGATTGTAATTTTCCCTATTTTATCGCACACCATTGTACACAAGGAAATACACATATAACAGTTTTGACAACTCAAACGATTTTAACATAAAACAGTTTTAACAACTCACACGATATTAACGATGATTGCAGGGAGATTAATAATTCACAAGTTAGCACCAAATAATTGGAAAAGGCTACGGATGATCATCACAATATACTCCTCAACACTCAATTGCATAAATGATCATGACTAAAGCTAAACCATGAAGGAATGACGTATTAAAGTGTAGAACAATCATGCTTGTAGAAGGGATGAGTTGTACAGGAAGAAACTTCACATTATTGATTATTTTTCCATTGGCTTGGTTTTGGAAGTACTTCTTAGTGGTATTTTAACAAATTTGTGGACCCAGCTTACTCTATTTCTATTTTCAGTTACGGTCATTTTTGTGGAAAATATTGGGATCTGAATTGTACATCCTGCTTAGTCTGCATGCAGGGCCGCTGCACTTCATTGTAAAGAAAAGGGGAAAAGCATTTCAAAGTTAGCTCTTCAGTACAGCCTGATGAATAAAGATATATCGACTGTGCTTGTTGGCATGATGTCTGCTGAACAGGTTTGTATTCTCCTGGAGCGCTTTTTTGTAAAATTTTGTGCACACAGCATATTTGATCCAATCTATTTGGAAATTTTTGGTTGCAATTAAACGATATATTCACTTATACTCTTATATTTCCTTTATTTTAACAATAAATGCTATGAGCAATTTCTTACCATGTAAAGTTTTGGGGATCGCAAACGTGTTTGATCATGCACATTGTTGATGCAGATTAAGGATCTCAAAGCACTTAAAAAGCTAAACCTAGTTACCAAATTATGCTTTCAGATAATTTTTCTTGAACGAAATGGATTCAAAACAATGCAAATTTATAGTAGAACTAATTGTCTTGCTATGATGATTTCAATGGCACAAAAATCACCTGAATCTTTAGCACATTATGCCGATCAAGGGTTTCTGGCTTGAATCAAATCATAAGACTAGGTCACCCATTCTCTCTCTTTTTTTTCACATGCATGTGTGTGACTTACATGGGGGGGTGGGTTGGGGTGGGGTTGGGGTTAAAAGCAGTTCTCGCTAACTGATAGGGGGTTGCCTAACATGCACCCCAACATCCTCTCTCTCTTTGAGTTACCCTCTATTATCACATCCCGTCCTTCAAGTTATGTAGCACATTATGCGGATGAGCATAATCAAGATAAAAGCCCAATTGCAAGGGCTATGACAAAAGCTCAATGAAAAGATCAAAGAAAAATGGCCAATTACAAGAGCTCAATCAAGAACCCAATAAAGAATCCATATTTTAAATTTTTTAAATATAATTTTGTATTTTATTTTCCCTCTGGAAACTTGTATGATCAGCTAATATATGATTAGTTATGGATGAAGTATTTAAAATAGGTGGTGAAAACACTTTCTTTTTCAATGACAATCTACACCCCCTCCCCCCTCTCTCTTCCCCCATTATTTTCCCTCTAGAAGTAGTTGCCTAAGAGTCTTGTAATGCTTATGGGCTGAAATGTTTTGTTAATTTTTAGTTTTTGAAATGAAATAAATTTATGGAGTAGTGCTCTTCATTTGCTTGATGCTTGATGACTTCATGTATGTGTCTTTTCTTTAGTGATATTAGATGGTTATCTTTTTTTTTTAATGTTATTCATAATTTCTTTTAAATATTTGCTCTAAACACTCCCACTCTTCCTCCATTTCATAAGCATCATCTAAAACCGATAAACTAGCAACCAAAACCTAAAACCATTCTAAACACTTCCACATAGCTATCGACCCAACTAAATAACAATTGAACCTAGTATAATTCCCTATATGTCTACATCTTTTTAAATTTTATCAATTTCTACCATCAACTAGATCATAAGTTCACATCATAAACTAGCATTCTATTATCATTTTCAACTATTTATCTTACATAAAAGTCACTCTCAAAGTGATTTTCCAAGTCAACTCAAACTGAACTAGTTTTGACATTTCTACTAACATAATCTTTTAAACTTTTCATTATTCCACCATAAACTCCAAAATGCTTCTCTAAACATCAAACTAAAAATTCATTGCTTTTCTAACCATTAATCTTACCAAAAGATTACTCATCATCATCACCAAGCCTCATAAAAACCCACATAAACCCTATATGATGAGGTGAGATGAAAATTTAAAATTTATTTCCAAGAAGTATAACCATTATTTCAAAAAAAAATTCCACTAATAATGTTATCTGAGCATTTAAATTTATTAGCACCTACTAATTTATCCATTAAAATATAAATAAAATTTATCTACTGTAATAATTCATCCAAGGAGTACATTATTATTGAATCAACTACATAACTTCTAATCTTATCACCTTCCATTGATATACCACAAGCATGATTCTGGAGACTTTCATCTAAATAATGGTCAAGACTTGTTCTTCCTAGCATGTATGAGCTTTGAATATAGATGTTTGATGAGGAGATAAAGAGTGCCAAAGATGGTTAATAAAGCATAGAAGATGTTAATTGAAATAGGAGTTACAATAATGCTAGATGGTTTGTCATATATTAGTAAATGAGCATTTCAACTTTTTTTGTTAATAACCTTTATGAAGTTGTATTTTTGAAATATGTTGATAAATCAATCTTTGATAAAGATACACAACTGTTATTTAAAATTCTTGATGAGGTTATTGAAATACTAGTAGAGTGCATATTTGTTTAAGTAATAATAAATAATGCAAGTGCCTATGAGATTGCAGGGAGGATTTTATGTGACTCATCAATATCTAAATAGGAAGAGTTACATCTTTCTATCATTTAAACATCAATTGGAGCTTTTCAATTTCATATAAACAAAGGAATATAAATGACAAAAAATATAAATGCATTTATATTTATTAAATATTTACAACTGATACAAGCCCAAAATGATATATGTACACAAGTTATGATACAAAATGATTCAATCCATCATTATGAATGCATCATGACTACAAATAATAAATATTAGATGCAGAAGGAAAGACATATGTCAGTAGCCCATGTCACTTCTCAGGCTTCTTACCTTTATGAAAATATATAAATATCATGTAATGAGCACATAACCTAACAAGTAAATAATATCCACAACTAAAGTCAATGCATTAATCAGAAACAATAATTATATATATAAGTACTTGTAGCAATCAATAGGACAATATCCTGTATATCATATAAATCATATACAATCTTATCATGTACAGATAAATTATCTCCTCCTCATATATTATATGTTCATATTAGCATTCTATCAGTCTAATTGCATGTCAACTGTGTCAACTAATCAGTTGTCATTAGTCACTCTATCTTATTTATCAATTCTTTATCATATGCCATTACTATATATATCTTTTCATGTATGCAATATCTACCATATCATGAAATACTATCATGTATGCATATTAATTGAGTTCAACAAGGTACGACATCCAATTTTAATGTGATGTTCCCAACATCTTTGACCCCAACTGTTAACCAGTTGGTTATCAATCTTTATCTTCCCATTATCATAAATCTTAAATCGGTTCGTAGGTGGCTTTCTCTATCTGTTGGCTTAACCGGTCAATCAATTATAGGCTAGCTTATAGGATTACACAACAAATTTTTTATTTTAAAAAAAAGCTCGTTGGCCCAACCTCCTGTATAAGGTATTATATTTTAAGAGCAAACACATGTTAATTGTTGTATTGACAGCCAACCTTTTTTACTTTTATGTAAATGCCATATTCTTTTTATGAATAATTTGTTTTATACAATACAATATGTATCTTATTCACGTGCAGATATTATGTTCTGAAATGCATGTTATGCCATATGAACGATAATCATATGTATGCAGTGTATCTCATATTCAGTACAGTAGCACCTGATTATTTAACAATCAACAGTTTTCCTCTTATTTCATATAAAATGTCATATAAGCCAAACCACTCAATAAAACTCAATATAAACCAGTCAAAATGCTCATAAGAATGTTATTTATCATATATCAAAAGTTATATAGTGAAAGTTCACTAAAACGGGAGATATTGTATTTTTATCAAATTTAGGAGAGAGAAATATACCAAACTTAGAATCATTGAAAACATAAGTAGAGTAGAGATCATTTACAATGATTAGAATTTTATTAAACATGAACGACAGACAAAAAGCCTCGGAGAACTTTCCTCTTTCCCTGCTCTTCTCTTTCTTCTTTATTTCCTTCCCAGCCAAGTAAAATGAATATGGGGGTGGTGGTGAGGGATATTATGAAATATATATATATATATATATATATATATATATTCATTTTAGTGCCCAGCGTTGTGGCACGCAAGATCTAGCGCCGTTGTGCTGCATGCCAACCTCAGAGTTATTATAGAATAGAGAGCTCGGCGCCGCAGTGGCGTTTTCTAGCATCGTTGCGCTTGCAAGCACAGCTCCGCAACACTTAATTAATCAAAATTTTCATGTTTTTAATATAAAGTCATTTTGGGTTATTATATGTTAATGAAGAAAATATGTATTTTTATTGGACTCCATATGCGTCCATTGTCTTAATTTGATGCTAGGGTAGTTTCCACAACATAAATATACTTCGTTCAAAACAAAAATAATGAGCAAGCTTATTTATAACTATTCATTGGTGTTGAGCTTGATGAGAATATTTAAGATAAGACTTATAATTTGATCAACTGTTACAAAATTCACTGCAGCTTATTTGATTTCTCAAATGTTTGAAGAGTTGCGATAATTTTTGGATGCTATCTTGCTTTTGAAGAATGGAATAGAAGTTCTGGAAACAAATTGAATGAAAGCAAGTGAAGAAGAATGTAACAAAGGATGGTCCTTTTTGGCATAATGTTAATTATGCTTTTAATACCCCAAAACTTTTAGCGAAGATATTAAGAATGGTTAATGATGAGAAGACTCTAGTAATAAGATTCATCTACTATGAACAAGTCAAAGTTAAAAATAACAATAGATTATAGGGGACTAGAGTCTATTAATAAAGAGATATAAGACATTATAGATGAAAAATGGGATGAGCAGCTATATTATAATTTTGCATGTTGTTGCGTATTTTTTGAACCCCAAATTCGGTATGAGAATGACTTTCATGTAAATAAAGAGGTTAGGATTGATTTATATTCATGCATGAATAGGCTTGTTGATGAGGCTAACTATTTTATGGTTAAATGATCAACATTTTCATTTAAAGAATGGAATAGTTGGATTCATAGAAGTCCAATCATGCTACAACACACACTCCTTGTAAATTTGTATGCAGTTATAATTTTACATCTAAAAGTTCTAAGTTTTTTCTTCAAAAATATATATTTCATTTCCTTCTGTTCTATTTTAAAATGTGGTTTGCACTACTTGGAGATGACATGCCTGAACTTTTAAAGCATTTGTAGTGAGAGTTTTCAATTTTTCTTGTTTAATTTTTGCATATGAATGTTGTTGTAGCATGTTATCAAGTGCATACAAAGATAAGGAATCGATTAGTTGTATGATGTATAAACAGATTAGTTTATATTAATTTTAATAAAAAAATGATATATACCCCAAATTACTGAGAGAGAAATGGTGATGATAGAATTCATCTTTTGATTTTTGATGATGCTTAATTTGATGGTGGTGAATGAATGTTTCAAAAAAAGTGATTAATCTGAAGTTGGTGATGAAAGAATGGTTTTTGATAATGATAAGAATTATTATATCATTCTTAACTTTGAAAGGGCTAATGAATTAGGAACAACTTCTGCGTGGAACTTGAAAGAAGTAATATATATATATAATAAATTACTTAGTTGTGTTATTAATCACTATTTTATCTTAAATTATATTGAATCTAATGTTAATTGATATTGTGAGTAAGAAGTAAAATATAGTGATTGAAGATGATTTTTTGAAGTTGTCGATGGGACTAAATGAGAGGATGATAAAATTGTTATATGTGATGAATTTTATGAAATGCTGAAATTGATGAACTGCTATGGATCTCGATTCTCATTGTGTATTTAAATTTTGAGTGCTTATTTTGAATCGTGTTTCAAATTTTTACTTTAAATTATCATTTAAGATTATGATTTACTTTATTTTGTATATTATTTAATTTTATTGTTTATGATGATGATTCAAGTAACTATGTATTTGTCATTTTTAATGATTTTTAATATTTTTATTTCAAGGCTTACCCCTTATTTGCCTTCAGGCTTACGCTTTGCCACGTTGAGGCAACACTTTTGTTCTTGATTTCATCTTTATAGATATACATTGCACATCCAAGCATTAATGACCAAAACAACCAATTAATTATATCCCTATAATTAAAGATTCTATAAATTTTCTTTAATTTATGCTTCCTAATCAATCCCAAATAATCATGGGGTTATTATCATATGATAATTTCTTTCGTTGACTAACTCTTTTAGAATAAAATTTCATAATAGAAAGTCATTCTAGTAGAACCCCTAATTATTCATCTCCACTTCATGTGGCTTTCACATGGCTAATTATTGTTGAGAATTATTATATTGTCCGAGCAAATGATAAAGAAAAAGATGATGAGATGATCCACCTATATTCAATCACTTGGTCACCCTTTGTTAACCATGAAACAAACTTAAGGTTAGGGTTTGATACTCAAATATCAAATTTTATCAACACTAATGCATCATGGAACTCCTCTAGGAAAATTGAGGTTTATCTTAATTTGGATAAAGAAGAAAAAAATCAGTGCCAAATCTTTATATCCAAAATGTTTATTGTCTACATCCTCAACTCAATTTTTGTGAGATGCCCTTCACCTTAATTTATCTCTCTATTTACTTTTCCCCCCCTCACGTGCTCACGCGGATTCGCGGCTTCCGCCCGTCTCTCGCGTCCGCCTCGTGTAGCAGCGGACCGGTCCCTGTTGGACCGGTCCAGCCGGCCCAGGATGGGCCGGTCTAACACATACCTTCTCAATCAAAGACGTTGTCAATTGTTGACATTGTTTATTTAACCCAAGGTATTTGATTATTTTGTGGAGTAACTATCTTTGCATGGGCTATCTAACTATATTTTAACTTTTTGGAGTTATTGTGAGCTCTGTTATCTCTATTTCATGATCTATTTAAGGTGAATGATCGTTCCTGAGGAGACAATCTTTTTGATATCAAAATGACAATTTATCATCGCTATATTTTGGGGCCCTCTAATTTGGTTAACAAACTTTCTCAATTTTTATGGTTAATTTGACTGTCCAACTTTGTTGGATTTGTGGTGTCAGCCGCCAAGATCTATTAGATGTTATATTTTGTTTGTTGATTGGAGATGTCAGCCTGTGGTGGTTGTAGCAACAACTCAAACTTTCGAATGAGAATTTTGATTTTTTTTTTACTTAGACCATGCAGTTCATTAGTTGGACTGAACAATGTTTTGCAAAGCAAATGTAGTGAAGTTGAGTAGATTGTACAATTTGAGCATATCAAGTGCCAAGTTGTCTAGAAGTGTTCAACAATCGAGCAACAAGGGATCGCATATGTTGTCATAGGATACCTTCGTCGATTGATCTAATTTTGTTAGTGAACTAAATGTGATTAATTAGATTCTGCCACATGTTAGGGATGGAAAAAGGTTTCTTAAGATGAGTGCCAATTGTCATTTGTTAGTTATCAGGAGAACTCCCTAAGGGAACACACTAATAACCCACTAACTAAAAGTTGACTTTAGGCCTAATTTGTCCTTCACAGAACTAGCTTAGTGAGTGCAGTTATGCATTATCCATTTAATTGCATTTTATTACCAGTTCTATAGCGCCAAACTTCAAATTATCTACAAATATAGAGTAAATGGGTCAGGCATGGACATAAAATTTCATGTGAAAATCACGCTAAATCTCATAGAAAATCTCACTAAAATTATCCATGAAACATCTTTCTCCTTATGTGTTCCACTCGTTCAGTTAGATTTATGTTCTTTTTTTTTTCAAAAGGGTCTAACCAGGCTCCTTATAAATCAAAATCACTTCCTGACCTAGCTTCTTTTGTTTATTGAGCTTGATAAACAGTACTAAACTCAAAGCATACTAAACGGGTATTTGTACACAATAAACAATTAACTAACAAATACTACTAAACTCAGAGCATATCAAACTAATTAAACCAAATTAGGCTAAATCAACCAAATTATCATGTCTTGCTATGAGTGCTGTCCATGCAGCCATAGTCCAAAGCCTTTTTTAATGCTTGTCATCAAATGCTTACGCTCATTTTGTTGTAATAAATCAAGCATGCTTGACTTTGTCTTTATTGTGGAACTTTTCTCTACCAGGTTGAGGAAAATGTTAGTGCTGCTCTTGAGCTCTCACTGGAAGGTATAGACAATGAACTTCTGTCGGAGGTGGAGACCATTTTAAAACCTGTGAAGAATCAGACGTGGCCCAGCGGAATTCAGCAAAGTTAGCTGTTGAGATTATTGCTGAATAAAAGCTGTGAGTCAATCTACTTCTGTTCCATTAGATGGTAGCGATTAATAATCATCAACCATCAGCACATCCTTTTAGTTTCCTATTTAATATTGCAATAAAACAACTCATGAAATATAAAATTTTATGATAAAATTTGTCATTTGCTTAATGTATGATATGATATGATACATTTCTTTGGATTTGTAATAGGTCATTGCAAACATTTGTATACTTCTTTTTTGAATGCAATTTACTTTTTACTATTATTTTGAAAATTTATGTTGGCAGACAGAAGATTTGGAGTTTTTTTTTTCTCCTTGAAGTGACAGAGTCAGGGCATGTGGCCATCAAAACTTGAAAATTCTTCTATGATTTTGAAGATCAGAAGTTCAGATTTTTCAAAATGTCTCAAATAAGATTATTGAAGTTTTTTTTTGGTAAATTTTCATAGTTTATATTAAAAACGTAATTATTGAATGGTAAAAATTACTTCATGCTAAGAGCATATGATTAGAGCTTCATACAAATTGAGTCCAGTTAATACCATTCTGTTCAAATATGCTTATTTAATTTGCTAGCATTAATCAAGTAAAAATATATTTATTGATTTATTTTACCGAGTGTGAGTTATAATTGAGATTTTGTTTGTGGCAGTTTTATTATTACTTTTTAAAATAATTTTTTAGTATATTTAAAAAATTATTTTATTTTAAAAAACAATAACAAAGCTGTCTAAAATGAAGCTTGAATTTAAATCAAGCTGTTAATTTTTTAGTGTAATATAATTTTACAATGGAATATGAACTATGATTTAACACGGCAAAAACAGGTCCAGAAATCAATCATTAAGCAAGTCCCTTATGACCATATTTGATATTCCCACAACTGTTATTAAAGCTGAATGAATATATTTTTCAAAGAAAGAAAAGGATATACATTTACGGATTTACCATCACAGTTATAGGCAAAATACAAACATAATAATGTGAAAAAAAAAAAACATACAAAGAGAAGGGTGAAAATCAAGCAAGGGAGTAATTAACAAACGCCAGAACAATAGCCCATCTTCAGTCATCGCTCAGGAGCCTCTCGGAACCTTAAACTTCTCTTCCACTGCGCCACCGCTGCCGCCGCCTGCCATATGATCTCTAGGCAGTTTTCTGCAGGAAGCATCCTCCGACGATTGCCGGCGAAGTAAGGAAGAAACACCGAAATGGAAAGAAGAGGTACCCGTGCTGCTATTAATGTTATGATTAAAATACGAAGAAGAAGAGCAGGGTTTCCAGCTCTTGTAGCAGAAGAAGAGCATCGCCGCTGTGGGAGCCATGATTACCGAAATTCCAAGCTTTCAGAGAGAGAGAGAAAGCGAATAGGAATTCTATTTATAGTGAGAGAAAGGGAGAAAGGAAGGGGGAAACGGCCATTGATTTGGCTTCGGAAAACGATGGGCTTTGGATTGAGAAGGAAAAGGTATTGAGTGAATCTGTGTGCTCCTGATGAATCTCGAGGGCGGTTTGCTTCTTTAAAAAAAATAAAAATAAAAACTAAAAAGACGTTTTTTTTTTTAATTTTTAATTTTGTATTCATAGGAAAATCATAAAATGAGTAAAATAGAAAAGAGGGGGGCGGAGCTGAGGCGTGGAAGACGAGGTCTCGTGCCGGCGCGTGCCGGCCAAGGTTTTGACTCATCCTGAGTGCGGCTGCGTCGCACAGAAACATGGAAATTGTCCACCCAGAAATCTCCACGTGTCTGTTTTTTTTGGGCTTTTCCTCCTATGTGAAATTAATTCCATTTGCCCCATGCAAAGCATGGGGAGGCGCGTGCTGTTCGAGCGCCAGATGGTTTCTGCCATTTCTGTGGGGGAGAGTGCGATTGAAAATTAGAAAATAAAAGGACCACAAATTTGAGATGAGAGGACCGAGAATTGGGCAGCAAAATATTTGTTCTATGAGTTTATTCTTTGGTTTCCAAGAGATCAATATTTCTCCTAACAAAATGATGCAGTCACTAACAAATTTTATTGTGCATGGATAATGTAAAAATCCGATTTTTTTTTAAATAATTGTAAATGAAAAAAAAATCCTGTTTGAATTGCAGCGCAGAGGAGAGAAATAGAGCTAAAAAACTTAATTGCTACTGCCTAATGCATGTGAGTTTTACTATTTTTTCATCAATTAATGATCATATGATTGTTATTATTATGAATTGATTGACGTCATGCATACTGTTTCTTTAACTTGCTTTGAGTTAGTTGTAAGATTGGATGATTTGTTGAGTTTTTTAGCTCATTACATGTGGTTTAAATAATTTCATGTCAGAATAGAAAATCAAATATGTGAGGTTGATCAGATCAAGATTTTCTAGGTTTACTGTTAGTTCATTTCTTTCTGTCTTTTAACTATTCTTTTGTACTCATGACTGATGATGATAGATTGTAATTGTATGTTTCCTTATTATTGTATATGATTTTGAAATAATAATGCATATGTATTTTGATGTTTTGATTATTAGTTTTATTTTAGTTGATATTATATTGATAAAAGAGAAATATATAGTTATGGTGTTGATTTTGAAATATAAAAAAATAGTTCTTCTAAATTAGATTTTGGGACATCATAAACAAAATGCATAGTGTATATAACAAAAAGCTTAAGATGAGATGGATAAAAACATACCCTTTCCTATAGTGGAATGAGGTAATGCAACTTTAGATCTAAGTGGAGCATCGAATGATTTTGTTAGCTATTTGTGATGGTTGACAAATAGGTGGAATGATGCCATGTTCATCATTTGATGTGAATGGTTGTGCGATAGTTGGTGGATTGAGAAGTAGAGACATGTACATAACTCAACTTAGCCTGTTGGTTGAGAGCTCAGGCTTCCAACTAAGAGGTCTTAAGTTCGAGTTTTTGTGTATGCGTTGTGTGTGTGAGTTTGCCTTAAATGGCCTAAATGTCTCAAGAGAGAGAGAGAGAGAGAGAGAGAGAGAGAGAGAGAGAGAGAGAGAAGTAGAGACATGTGAGGTTCAATTGACAGATTGGGAAGCACCAAATCAGGGAAAGGGTTGAAAAAAATTATCTTTAATAATGATGAAGTGAAAAAAAAAAATTTTTATGAAACACAATATATATCCTTGGCATGAATAATTATTTATGTTCTATATCATATAACTTGTAGCCTTTTATATTTAGTGGGTACCTAGAAGTACCAATGTGCAAGCTTATGGAATAAATTTAGTTTAGTGAGAGGGCAAAGTCAAAGTAAATGTGTTGCAACCAATAACTTTATCGAATATCTGTTGTTCAGAAACTCAGGTGATTATCACTGATGTTTGTCTAATTTTAATTTAAATGATAATTATGAGTTTTAGAATATTTAATGACTTCTACAGAAAGTAAGAAAGCGAACTGGAGAAGAAATTTTTTAATATAAGAAATTTCTCTAGGAGCTCCGCGATGCGATGTCTTGTAGGCAGCACTATGACATTGAGCTTTCTAGTGAAAATTAGATATGAACGCGTGTCGCGGCGCCAACACAAGTTGAGCTCTCCAGTGAGAAATCGGATTTGAACGTGTGACATGGTGCTAGGTGGCGCCTCCACGACGTCATACTCTATGTTTGAAAAGATATTAGGGCAATTCATAAGATTCAGCTCAACGCTATAGCATTGAGAATTTAGCGCCACGATGTTGGATCAAATTAGTAGTTTTTATATAATTAAATTTCTAAATTCATTTGCCAACCCCTCTTCACTTAATCACCTTGTCGGAGGAGGAGAGAGGTTTCTGAGTCCAAGGCTCGTGATTCATCCATCGAGCCAGTTAGGATTTCACTAGGTAGACTCTTAAACTCCTATCTCCGATTTTAAGTTCCAGTAAATTTATAAAAAGTTATGAATAAAAATGTATTTCTCTTAGGTTTTATAAATTTTTATCGTGCGTAGTTTAATATGTTATTTTATTTCTTATAATGAGTATTTTGACTATATGAAATTGAAGTTTTACCGGTTGATTTTTTCTACGCGAATTTCTCAGTGTATTGTTGAATTGAAGCTTTTCTAACAAATGTAATAGTCATATAAAAGCGTTAAAATCTTCATATGTAATGTTCTAACTTTTAAAGTCTTATGTAATGTTCGTTTGAGGCAATTTTTTTCGTAATTTTAATTTAAAATTTTTAATATTTGTATTAAAAAATTTATTTTAAAAATTAATGAAAAAGTCATCCCCAAACAAAACCTAATTTCCTATAACCAAATATTTTCTTCACACCCAACTCAATCAAAATAACAAATTTTCAGCATCCTTCAATATAACATGACAAAAAATAAAAAAAATTGCTGGCCTACTAAGCCCTTCTACCTTTGCACAATTACTAAAATTATAATATCATATAAGAAAAAAAATTAAAATTATTTCAATTTTATGAATGTGAGTAACATTTCTCTTCTCATTTACTCAATTCAAAGATGCCCACAAAAAAAACATAAAATAAGAGAGTGCAATCTTCAATTCAGAATCCAATTTCATTCCCTCAGTATGATAATACAACATTGAAGGCTGTCAGCCTGGCACTGTAACCTATCAACAACTAGGCTAAGCAAAATACTCATTTTAAGATAATCTCATCTTCTTTACATGTCACTAAATCTATCTCCATATAAAAAAAAACCAGGACATGATTAATCTATCTCCAAAAAACAGTTAGAATTCTTGACAACAGAAAATTTCAATTTCCTCAAATTCATATCTCCACAACAACTCGCTTGAAAATCTCCTGAGATGCAAATATAGTATGGAGAAAGGCACATGAAGAACAGTGAGGAAACCTCCACTTTGCTCCAGTTTTCAGCTCAGATAATCAGGCAAACTAGAAGCTCTGAGGTCAAACTTCCAGCTTCAATCCTGCAATGGCACAAGAACATGCCAAGCAAGGCTTCCCATTAATCATGGAAACCTCTGTAAATTCTACCACTTATAATGTTCTTCTGTGCATTACAAAGGTGCCCACTGAAGGCCTAGATTTCAACAATATAATAATAATAAAAAGAACAAAGATCCCTTTCCTCAAGGAACCACCAAGTAACACTATCAGAAGTTTCATTACAATTCAGTATACAAGGCTTTTAAACTTAAAGCATGGTCTCCACAGCTGCAAGGAAATGGGCTTCAGAAGCAGCTAGACAATGCTCACTGACCTCTTTTAGAGGAAGTGTTGGAAATCAAAACATGAAATCCTTCCAAAAGACTTCCAATCTCAACCATTTAACTACCAGTCCACTTTCTTTTCCGGGCTGGACGTTCCAGCTTGATATCCAGATCGGCAGAAGTGGCGGAAACAGCTTCATTCTGGATACAGGATGGTGGTGCTTCACTCTCCACCTTCTTATTTCCTATGAGATCCTTATCCTTCTCTCCAGGCATGGGAAGCTTGAACCTCTCACTACGCATTTTCAGTTTTGCCACTGTGTCGAGGTGGCGATCTCGTTCCTCACCTACTTTATCTGCAACTTGGAGTGAATCATCAACATTCGTTTCAGTGTTATCAGCCTTATTAGCATCAGCTTTCACCAATTCATTGAGCTCATCTTGGGATTCTTCAACTTCCCTGACAATGGAGGAAGTCTGGATATTGCTGTCAACGATGCTGTAGTCTCTCTCTTTATGGCTTGTCCACCGCTCCAATTTCGAACGACCCCTCCTTGAATCATGGCTCTCGCCATCTGAGACAGGATCATTGTCGCCATGCCTTGCAGTGGGCAGCAGAGAGGCCTCCATTTGCTCTGCGTTTACACGAGCCTTCTTTCCGCCCGTAGTTGAACGGTTATTACTTTGTTGTTCATTTGAACCTTTCAAGTTGAGCTGTGCGGCAAAAAATATTTAAAATCCAAATCAAGAAGCAAGGAAGCCTGATAGGAGTTGACAATAAAAAAAAAAAACAATTTGGCAAGACAACAACTCACCCCATGAACCTGTTCAATGCTGAATGATGAGCAAGAACAATAATGTAAATGAAGTTGATGCAAGAATTGAATTGTCAAAAAAAAACTCTAGTCTATCAAAACGTCTTCATCATTTTACACAAGATATAAGAATGAAGTTCTCATTTCTCAAGGCATACATTCGTAAAGCTGAAAGAAGAGTTCAAAGAAGAGGGAATAAGGAAAATGAAAATTCTTTGTAGCACAACCCAAAAGACCAAAGGACATCCAGTCAAATGAGATTAAGGTCCCACTGCAGTATTACACATGTCAGCGTTTTGTAAGACTAAGGACCTATTTTTTCTCTAAGTTGGGCTTGGTGGTACTACCAAAAGAGCATCTCTACTTTGAAACCAAAGAGAGTTAAAAAGGAATTACTCAAATGTGATAAAGGCGCGATGATGAAAGTGGGACAGTGCTGCAAACCTTTAAAGAACTATAATATGAGAGAAAAAAATTAGTAAAAATGAAAGCAGATACACAATTTAACTTATTTTGACGTTTACAATATGCCAATAATCGTCAATGGTAAGAAAAAAAATGATTGACCCAGTTGAAAATTTACTAGCAAAATATATAATTTAGTTTGAAGTTCTTGGATTTAGTTTCCACCAACACTATACCATGTTTTTAGGTTTCCCAGTGATTGACGATATGACCCCAAAATGTTTATTGACATAAAATTTACAACAGATAAAATTATGACTGCTATTCAACATTATGTTGGCTAGAGGTCATAGAATTTACTCAATTCATCTGAAACAACCCTTAAGATCTTTCCGTAAGGATTGTTGAAAAAAAAAGTACTGCCTCAGCAATGGTATAATTTTCTCTATCCTCTGGTTGCTAATAACCTGGCTTTAATTTAACTTACCAAAAGATAAGATTCAGAATTATATATATAAAATAAAAACATAATGAAAAGACTGCTATATATATAAGAAGCTTTTATTTTTCCAACCTACGAGCCACCTTTTTATAAAAATAGTATTCTAGTTCGAATTTTCCTTCCCAAAATGAGAAAGATTTCCTGGTTCGGACAAATTTCTCCAGAATCTTTTAGTGCACTTAAAATACCTCAGTGCGGTGAGTGTTGTGGCCTCCTCTCTTTCTCTTGCTAGACAGTCCTCCCTTTTGCCCAACAGGTTCAGACTCCTCGACCTTTTTGTTGCTTTCACGATGTCTTTCCCTCAGCACCTGATGCTCATCAGAAGCACCTGAAGGACGATCAGCGTGAGCGCTTAACCTTTCATGCCTCATGCTTCTCTGCTCTGCATTAAATCGTTTTTCTCGAGTATGACTATCACCTCGAACTTTGCTTAATGACTCATTTTCTTCCACAGTGCGATCGCTTCTCTTTGACTGCTCATTGTGCCGCCTTCTATCATTATCGTGATATCCTTTTTCAGATCCTGCAACTTTCATATCTTCTTTGCTCCTTCCAGTTCCAGCAAATATCTTTTCCATAGGCCGTCCACTTCTGGAAATGAATCGTCTTTCTTCTCTTCCCTGGAGTGCAAGTGAATCATCATGAATGAGATTGAGCTGCTGTCGATCTTCTCTATCCCTTTGGTACCAATTGTCATCTTTGTGCTTACTAGCATGGCGTTCCTCGATCTTGTTCTTTGTTCTAGCATCATCCTCCCTCTTCCTATGATCAACAATATCATCCCTTAATCTTTTCTTTCGGTGGGAATCTTCCCTAACCCTATAACCATGCAAAGAATCTTCCTTGTCAGCTCTCTCCCTCCTAGTAAGTTCGACATCTCTTTTTCGCTTCATTTGACCATCTTCTAAGTCTCGCCGGCTCATCAAGATATCATTCCTCTCCCTATGTCGAAGGCCATCTTCCCTGCTGTATCCTCTCCAATCTCCTTCATCTACTCGCTTCTTCACATGGTCTTCAATCTTATCCTTCCTATCAATCATTCTAGCTTTGCTCCTTTCCCTGGGTCTTACTTCCTCATTATATAGTCGCCTAGTTTCTTCATCCTTTACCTGTCTATAATGGGTGTCATCTTCTCTCCTATGCCAAGCACCAACTGAACCATCCATCTCCCTCTCAAAATCCACACTTCTACCCCGAAAAGTGTGAACAGAACCAGAATCCCAGTCTTTTTGTGCATAAGATTCATGCATGATTTCCCTTCCTCTGGATCTATTTCTGCCCGTCTCCCGCCTGCCATCCCTGGCATACTCATCTCTCTGTCTACGACCATCTTCTTGTTGATGCTTGCTCAAATCTCCCGTATGCTTTGAAGAATGGACCTGCACAACCTCTTCACCAGTTTCATGCATTTTCTGATAATCCCTACTGTTTCCTGATCTTGCTCGACTGTTATCACTGTGTGTAAGCCTTGAATCATCGCCAACACCATTATCCTGACCACCAGACTGCTCAATGCATGAAATGTACTTTTGCCTGTTTGCAGAATTAATCAAGCCATCATCACCTACAGTTTCACTTGATACACGAAAATCTGAAGCTTCCCCTCCATCACCTTCATGGCTGTCACCTAGTGTAAGCCTGTCATCATGCTCAATATCTTTTGGGTCCGTGCTCAACTCCCTTGGAATATCAGAAAGTGGTGAATCAGAAGCCCCGTTACCTTCCATCTCATCACTTGCACTTTCCTTAACACGTCCTTCATGCTTGTCCAAATGCACATTTCTGGAAGGGAGAGGCTCTTTCAATTGTTCAATTGAGCTGGAGTTTTTTCCATATGGTATTCTTTGTAATGACCTTGAATTTCAAAATTAAAACCATGGCTGAGTAGATGCTCAAATAACATTGTGTTCAACAAATACTTCAATAAAGATCAATTAATACAACAAACAACATTAAGATGGTGAAGAACTGAAAGCCAGATTCAAAAATCATAACAGTATCTTGAAGAATCTGTTAATCATGAAAACAGACCATCTTAGCATATGAATTTGACAAGGGCCACATATGTGAGGTCACGGGGATAAAATGTGCATTGACGAAAAGGTGTCTTTTTGCCAAAATTTGTTGCATTTTGGCACGGTAAATGATACAAATAATAGTAAAGAGAAAGAAACATTTGCAACCAGACGAATCAATAAATGAGACGATATATACGTGAGCAAAGAAGAAAAAATTATAATATCAGTTAGAAGGTAATGATGAGTAGGCAAGATGAAGTGAAAACTATGGCAGATTTTGATGCCTTGACTATTGAAAAAGGGAAGCATTTGGTGCAGAGGAAGAATTAGGAAGGTAAAAAAAAAAAAGAGAACATGAATGAATACATAAAGGATATAGAGAAAAACAAAACAAAAGAGGGAAAAAACATGATTATGAGAAAGAGGGAGCAATTGATCCCCAGAGAGGATCCCAAGAAAAGTCAAATTCATTCCATCACTAACCCCCAATTACAATCATCAGCCTACAATTATTAAAAGTAGCCAAAATCTCATGGAGAACCTAGTCTAATAAACAAAAAAAGGAAAGATAAATAAGATTATATAAAAATGAGACATTAAATAATATTAGTTAAATTGACAAACACTATGATTCATGCCTAAAGATTTAAGTAAATGACTCACGCTGCGGCATCAATTCTCCAAGCTGTGAATAACTCTATTATTGATGGTTAAAATGTTGTTAGAAATTCTTGACTATACTGTAGAGGTAATAAAATCCTATAATATCTCATATAAAAAAGGAAGCGCACCACAATCTAACTAGGCAACCCAACTCGCTCCCCTCCATCTAATGTGCATGCAGTCTTTGCATCCCAAATATAAATAAAAAATAAGGTCAAGAGGAGTGAGCGATCAAGAAAGAGATCTACGAGAGAGAGAGAGAGAGAGCTAGAAATATAGGCAATGATCAAGTGGGCAATGGAGTGAGAAAATGTATAGTCAATAATGCTATCTGAGCTTGTCACGGACATGCCATAGGTGAGAACTTCCTTTATCTTTTTTTCCTCACTTTTTTTTTTCTTCCTCCACATTTATGTGTGATTTTTCCCTTTTCCCGAGCAAGCAAGCACTAAGAAAAACAGAGAAATGTAGGGAGGTAAACAACCACCAACTTCAAAATCATTGTCTACGAAAGGATGCAACCAATTTCTTCATTCTCCACTTCTAGTGCTTGTAGTTAAGGTATATTCTAATTCATAAAGTTTCTATCATACATGATTATTAGTTTTTGAGAATCAATCAAACTTATACTAAGACATGTTCGGACTAATGCATGTCTCTCTCTCTCTCTCTCTCTCTCTCTCTCTCTCTCTCTCTCTCTATATATATATAATATATATATATATATATATTTCTCCTCTTATGAAAAGAAAATTGATTCTCCCTCTAATTTTTTTCTACTATTGTATTAAGGATCTAAATAGCTAAAACATTGAGAAAGGAGCACGTGTTCAAATGGCACTGCAACACAAATGTACATGGCGGCTATCAAGGTTGTCTTTGGGGCTATCAAAGTTGTTTATGGGAGCTTTCACTGACAACAGACATCTCAATCTTGATTGAGTTGCCCAATCACCGCTTTAATGGAGGCTATTTCTCTTTGCCTTCATAGATATATATCATTCAGTCGATTAGACCTAAAGGTGACAAGTTGTTGATTTGGTGGTGGTTTGCGAGGTTAGATGCACTCAGCACCACTTATAAGGCAAATCATCAATAGGGCACAATATTAGACAGTGCTGGAAGTGAAGAAAATAAAGTTAAGTGTCTAAAGTTGACGAAGGTGATGAGTAAGTTGTTCATCTCATTAATAAAAGCATAGATTGGGAAGGAGGAGCAATCACAACATGTGATAAAGAAGATAGTGATGGTGGTGTTGAGAAAGGAAGGGTTGATGTAGGTGAGGATGGAGATGTGGATGAGGCCATTAGCCTGCACATTCTATAACTATGCCATCTATAGGGAAAATAGTGGCCCATGATATTTAGATCTAAAGGCAAAAAAAAAGGTAGAAGAATGGGATGTCTCCTCCTAGAAGGAAAAACACATCTAATCAACAGTGTGAATGTTCATCATTCTTTAATATTTAATTGAATTGTACTATTTTTTGCATATAGAGTCTATTGCATGGTTACTATTATTTAATAGTTCTTAATTTTAGGAGTTTTTGCTATGTTGGTTGCTATAAAATTTACAACAATCATGATATAATGTCTTATTAATTATGTCATGTTGCATATCATATGCTTTACTCGATCTTTATATGTTAGGAAATAGATTTCACCAACTGAGATTATTCTTTCAAATTCACACATTGATTTTGCAGTTTTAGGTTACTAGTTAGACATCTTTCAAGAAACATGTGATAGTTTCACGCCTCTTGCATTATGGGACGATAATTAAGTGGCACAGTTATAGATTTGATAATATACTTATCATATAGTTCTCCTTGGATGAATATAAGTAATTACATTTTGTTTATATTTTTGTGGAAAGATTGAAAGATGTTATTAAATTCAGATGCCCATATCAATTATACTGGCAGATAAATGAGAGTATGGATATATTATCATTTATTGGATTAACTATGACTTATCAGTCCGCCCAATTCTATCAAAATAAATTCAAAATTTTCAGTTTAGTGGAGTTGTAACAAATCAATTAAAAAAAAAGAAAAAGATGAATGAGGCATTCATCTCGAAGAAGGGAGGATAAATGGGGAATCCGAGGTTTGGATCACTTGGGTTAAGGTTATAGTCCTGTTGAGACGATTGGGTTTCCATTGGAACTAGCTTAGGTCAAAGATACAATTTAAATCTATGGAACATAGATACGAAAATGATGTCAAACAACCACGATGAAATGGCATAATTGCAAAAGCAAGATATAACATGACATAGACAAGATATTATATTTCATAAATTATTAATAAAAATTTATAATTGCTGCTATTTCTAGTAAATACATCATAGGATGAAGTATACTTTTATAAAAGAAATTTCAAATTAATAAGAGAAAAACAAACACAATTAAAACCTATTAAATTAAAAACATCTTATTAGCTCAACGATGAATAAGAATTTCCTAAACAAAAAATGACAGTGAAAAACAAAAACATGAAATTATTAGAAATTAAACAATAAGAAAATCTCATAATTGTAAAATCCAAATTTTAGTTATTGATTCTTCAACAAAATCTTGGAGTGAACATCTAAAAAACTAATACTAAAGTCATGGGATTTGGATTTCAAATCAAAGTCAAAGTGAAGCAACCAAGCCTCACTTGTTCGAAATCATGTGTGCACAAGAAAACTAATCTCAACGAAGTCTTGCATCAAAGTTGATGTCATGTGCGTGTAGGTAAGCCTAAGCCTATCAATTCGAAGTTTTGTGTCAAAGTCAAAGTTGTGCATGCAGGTAAGTCAAAGCCCATCGAAGTCGAAGACAACTCTCGCTCGAAGCTCACCATGCACTGAAGTTGAAGTCATGTGAGAACAGGTAAGTTGAAGCTCGTCAAAGTCAAAGTCATCATAAAAGTGAGGCGGCATCGTTAGCTAGAGTCACTCAACTAGTTAGGCTATCAATAGGATAAAATTTCTCTCCATGTCTCTCACTCTCTCCCTATAATAGAAGAAAAAGGTTTAAATGATATTAGAATTTTTTATCCTGTTTCTATGTATAAGGGCATGTTCCTCTGTGTCCGTCGAGTGTCCACCTAGTGTCCAAAGTGAATTTTACTCTTAAATGGACCTGACACTATTTTGGAAGTGTCAATTAAGTGTTGGGGCGTGTTGGAGTTGTTGCCCATATTTGAAATGTGTCCGACAAAAACATAAAGGGCATTTAGAAGTATCCGTGCTTCATAGACTCTAATTAGCTTAAGTTTGGAGAAACTAAATTAGTTTGACTAAATCACGATGGTTAGAGAAATTTGTGTGGCAAAAGTGGTAATGTATTAAGATGCAAGTTTGACTTTAAAATTTAAATTCAACTTCAAATTTATGTTTCAATTTGAAAAGCAACTTAAAGGTGTGTTTCAAAATTTTGAATAGAATTATGAATGATATAATCAAGGATATTAAGAGAATATTTATGGAAAATATTGCGGAGGATATGAACAAAATGATGGATTAAAAAGGGGAGGAAAACATGTGATTGTTGGAACTAATTTTCAAATTCAATTTGAAAACTGAAAAATCAATTATCCAAAACTTACTTGGTTTTCAAAATTCAAATCTGACCTTTTGGAATTTTCAAAATTTAAATATTTTAGGAAAATTTTCGATTCTTCACCTTATCTTTTTTTTTTTTCCCTTATGTGTAGAATTTCTTGCAAAAACCATTATGTTCAATAAAAGGAGAAGGTGCTATCATAAGTAGAGGAAAAAGGTTCTAAATGCAACAATTATAAAATATATCTATAAAGAAAATAAAACTCCAAATGCATAAGATTTTGCAATCTAATTAGGTTTTCTAAAGGGGAAGATTGTTAGTAAGTTCCTGAGTATTCTAAGTGCAAATATAAAGATTTAAAATTTCGCAATTAAGTATCGAGATGATTTTCGTCTATGAGGAAAGGCATAAATAAGCCTCGAGATATTTTTAGACATAAACATGATGATCAACAAATTGCAGAAAGTAAGAAATATTATGCTAAAATAAAATTATGCAGTAACAAATGTCATATTAACATCTTCACATCCAATGATTAAGTGAAAAGTGTCATACAAATATCAAAGAACTAAGAACTAAGAACATAACAATTCAAAAAAGTTCAACACAATATAGCTCTCTTTCCCATTCCTACATCAAAGTAGAACATAGCAAGCTTGTCAAGAAGGAAACCGCAACAATGCTAGGAAGGAAATGGTTGGCAACATGCTTGGTACGACGCATAGAAGGGCGTGCATGAGATGTGAGAGGTGCTCAGGTGTGTACAAGAACCGAGAGGAGAGGGGCTTGTGTGAAGAGTAAGAGAGAATGAATTAATAGAAGGGGTTTTACTAAATATATATTACTTATATTTGTCTTTAAAAATAAAACATACCCCTAAATTGTGCACACTTTATAATACTTGAGGCGAGGTATGCATCAGATTACTCAAATTTAAATCATTATATATATATATAAGCCACAATCCTTATAATACCCTTAAAAGATGCATTCAAATCTACATAAAGCAAACAGCTTTTGGGTAGATTTATGCATTTGCTTTTTTATGTAGATTAACTAATAGCCACTTTTGTCTAAAGATTAGTTTTTCTTTACAAAGCATATAGGATCATGGCTTCGAAAATAAAGTATAACGGGTTAGATCCACAACACAGTACATACCTTCCACCATGCTGTGCTTCAAAAGATCTAGCAGCGTCTATGGGACTGCGTGATTTAGGACTGGAGTTGTACTGACAAGATGATTCCGACGGGAAAGGTAGAATGCCATCACCATCAGCTGAAGTTGGAATTCTTCTAGCAGCCGATTCCCACTGTTGTTCGTTGGAACTACGTGGAAAATGACCATAAAAGCCAGATTTAGATTCAGCAGGCCTATCATCTTTATCAACATCGTGAAATCCTTTCTGATTTTCTCCTCCAAAATTATTTTCAATCCGTTCAAAAGCACTATTAGAGTTTCTTGAATCACCCTGATTATCTTGCAGCACAATCTGCAGTCCAAAGATTCAATAAGGATGCGAGATAAATCATCGTGCACAACTAGCGAAGAAATTCAAGGCATAACTCAAATCTAGCATCTCACCTAAAAGTTTCAACTAACTTAACATCTCTTGCATAAAGAAATTACCTCAATAACAGCATCAAAATCACGAAACCGTGGTGGCCTGGTATCTATAGAGGGAAGACGTTCACCATAGCCACTTTCAACTTGAATTGGTCTTCCAGTTGGCTGGCAAAACGCAAGTCATCATCAAAAGAAGGCTCAGACATTTCAAATTAATGAAAACAAAGCTGAAACATGATGGTTATTTGAAGCAACAAATAACAAGCATAGAAGTGAAGAAATATGTTGAAAAATAAGTCTTGAATGATAGATATAATAATAGGGAAAAAAAAAAAAAGATATTAAAACTTACTAGTGCTGGCCTTATGCAGGCAGTTCCTTTTCCTTGGTCACTCAAATCTGCCAGCCCATTTTCTGATTTATCATGAGTTATGTTGTCCACAGACATGTTGTTATGGCCGGTTGCAGCTGCAAGCTCAGGAGGTAAATCTGGATCATAGTCCTGATAAGAAAGATAAATTTTAGTGCTCTAAACAAAGCCAGATTCACATTTAGTTATAACAGGACAGATTACATAAATACATAATGCAAAAAAACTTCTTAAGTACCTTTTTGACACCAATTTCCTAATTTAAAAACCTAAAACCTTCTAACACTTTCAAACTACACAAGTATGAAAATCAGCCACAACTGCTAAGCATGTTCCATTTAGCTGTCCAAAACTTCAATCATTTTTACTTCAAACAACATTACTTTCTGATGTTGGTCAACCATCATCAACAGCAATGACAAACCTACCCGCATCTGTGATCACTGAGGCCCTGCACAGCTCATAGAAAGATGAAAAACCTAAGCTCACAGAGGCAGAACCATAGTGGCCTTATGCAGGATGACTATGACCTAGCAAAGGAGTGGAGATTGGAAATATGCACAGCCAGCCTGCAGCAGGCTCAGACAGGGCTGTTGTGCATGGACAAGCCACTGCCGGCCGAAAATGTTAGGAAAAATAAAAGTGCTACATTTTATTTGATTTATTTTGTGCTAGCAAAAACATGCTTATTTAAAGACAATCAATAAGAAAAATACAGCAGATGAGAATATATTATAATAATGAGTACTATATATTCCTAGCATGAATATTAATCACATGCAAAAATATTATTACGGTTATATAGTAACTCTGACACCCTCCAAATAACTCACAATGCAATAAAAAGAAGAATCAAGAGTTTGTATAGTACAAGAAAATTCGAGAGATCCATACCAACAGCTATTTAACAGCTTTACGAAATTGTCGATTTAAGTTGAACTACACTAGAACAAGACATTCTCAAATAAACCCAGAACAACCGAGGGATTGACTCCGGGCCAAACATTATTAAGGCTAAAGGTGACCAAATCATCTTAAGTAACGATCCTGAAGGGATTTCAGGGGATCCACATGGGATCTTCAAGATTGGAGATGAGACGAATCGTTGTTTGCCAAGCAAGACCAAAAAAAAAACTTTAGTCAGACGAGATCCTCATGGGATCCTCACGAGATCTTTGAGCAAAGAAAAGAAGACGAATACTTAGAACATGGTTTAGATACCATATAAGAAAACATAAAAAGGCTACATCTTTATTTGATTTATTTTGTACTAGTACTAGCATCTTACTTTAAGGAGAATGAGAATAACAATAAGAAAAAACAATAAATGAGAATAAACTTACTCGATAACGAGGATATATTATAATAATAATTATTAACCGCATGTAATAATATTAATATGATAAAACAATTACTCTAATAACACTGACTTGAGGAATGTTTTCCATTTAAAAAAATAAATGAATGGGCACATTAATGACTTCATTAGCACAAAGACCAATAGCAAATGGACAAAAAATATGATATGGTAGTAATTCTGCAACAGAGATGAAACTAGTGTTACCAGGAATGGTGAAGATTTCCAGTATATTCCATATAAAAGTTAGCATTTTAGGTATTATACATGCAAAAAAAAGGAAACTATTGTTGTAAATTGACATAACTTAAGGGTATCGTTACCTGTTCTGACCGACCACTTTCATAGACCCTGATTTTTCCTTGCATGGTAGATTCGAGACGAAGTTGTTCCTGCATTTAGTTTATAGAAGGTCCCAGAATTACTACAAATGCAGATGCTCTGGCATGACCTATACCAAAAAAACAAAAAAAAGACAACTAACTAACCAATTGCTTGCAGTATTCCTTCCAATGTTCTTCATCCAGTCCAAAATTAAAAAAATCTGAAATATCAACTCCTGGATGTCTCCATGGTTTATCCTCAAAACTTTCAATGTCAATGTCAAACACAGTCCTGAATGTACAACAATTGAATATAACAATTATGTAAATATACTATTTATTAAGTGTAACGACACAAATTTGATTATAAAGGGAGTATGTACTAAAAAACTGTGAACATACATCCTATGAAAGGTATCAAATTGTTCAGAAGTCAAAATATTGTCAATAGCTGGGTTGAATTCATAGCACCAGCTGATGTTATGGGTAATACACATGGACATGGAAATTCCGCAATAGCCAAAACAACCACTAAATTGTGTTAAACTATAAGGATTTATAATGATCCGAGTAATAATGGAGTATGAAACTTGCTTTCTTGTCCTCCATTCTCCTTCTTTACTCAACTAATCCAAATATAGTGCCCTAAAACATTATAATTAGACATAGCAGGAATAGCAAGGATACACAGTTATAACAAACTCAGAATCTTTGATAAATCTACCTGATTATGCAATTTGTTGAATTCTTCATGCAATTTATGCACTTTCAGTTGATGCCTAGCATTCACTCATATAAGGATGCAAAAAAAAAAAAAAAATGATATAGAAAAAGTAAGAAATGATACGGAAATACTCAAAAGTTAGATATGTGTTTGTCTTAAATGAACTAAATGACCCCATATAAATTAGTAGGGTATAAAAAGATAATAACATGAAATGGGTAGGCAAATCAGCAATGTCTGCCATTTAATTTAATATTAATTAACTGGCTAGAAAAGAATTATAAGCTAAAATGAAATGTGATGTCTGTTTCATGTACTAAAATTATAAAAAAAATGCCTAAAATAGACTAATAAGACAAAATAATAAAAATTTTGAGAAAAGGATAAAGTGGATTGAACATTACTAAGAAAATGCATTCAGGGAGTAAAATGAACCAGCCTCTAACAAGCAAACCTAACCGACTCACTTGTGTGATGGAAGACTGAAATCCAGACCACTGCCAAAAGGACGGCCAGATGCAATATTGCCCCAATTAGGCAACCCATAGCCAGAGTGAAAGCCTTTCTGCACATTAGGAAAGCCAATGCCACTCACTGGCCTCCAATCACCTCTTCCCCTCCCAGCAAGAGGACCAAAGGCAGGTGGGCGAACTTGACCAAGAGCACCAGCTGCAGCCATGCCAGGACCTCTAGGTGTAGGTGTCGCACCAGGTCTAACATACTGCATTTAAGATAAAAAAATGATAAAAAAAGGATCATTTACAGAGATTCATGTGTTACATGATGAGTTAAAGCAAAATTTACATAAACTACTGCTACTTAATTTAATTGACCATCAAATTCAAACTCCTTTTGGTCTGAGAGAAAAATAATCTTCATGCACACACTCATACAGATTTGTAGGTGAAAGACATGAAAAGATGAGAAATTTATTTGATTAAACTTAGATGACAAATTGCTCTTCCAATATGTAAAATCTGAGACAGTTTATCTATTCAATCTGGCATTCAAAAGTCTCCATTGTGTGTGAACAAAATTAAAAAAGGACAGGACATGGTTCAAGGAAGCGGAGTAATGCAAATATATTTGGCTTCACAATTTCATGTTGGGTGTTGGGTTCCAACATAACTAATAAGTGGTTTGATTACTTACAGAATGTGAACAAATACATTTTACCATTGACAATTGCCTACCTAAGTTTAAAAACGGGTAGAAAAAATTAGTAATTGCTGTGCCTCAAAAACAAGAAAACCTCGAGTTATGATTAACCAAGCAAGAAATAAAATTTATTTTCATTCAACTTCTCGCCAATCAAAAATATGGATGAAAACCAGCATCAATTCAATTCCAATAACATTTCAATTTTATTTTTTCATTTTTTTTCTTTTTCATTACAACAGACCAAACAGAGCCTTAGATTCCATACCCTTGTACTTTCTACACCAGAAATTGAAATCCAAACTTTATAACTGCTTACATTTTGAATATTTTTTATGGGTGTTCCATAAGCCCTGTATTTCACCTTGCAAAGCTTTTGAATAAATTAAAACCTGCATTCACTTCATCTGAATTAAGAGTCAGTGGAGCCTATTTTCTCAATACAAACACAATCTGATCACTTTCAATCGCAAGGATGTTGCCTGACTTGTACTTAGAAAACGAAAGTTAGTTTTTCAGGGTATAAACCCCATTCTGTTGAAGATCATAATATCATAGTTTCAAGACAAAGAACAAACAATTGTAAATAAACTCGGCATGGTTAAGCACTTCAGATTCCAATCAAGATTAATAACTTGATCTAAATACTAAAGCATCAAAATAGATCTCCAATGGACAGCAAGTTTTCAACATTGATTGGAATCTCCTAAATCATCATTCAGTTGTTACAAAAGTAAAAGAAAACTTCTCCCATAGAGATCCTAAACCTCAATGATGAACAAGATAAACGCTGATCACAACCCATGTTTTGCACCTTGCAATACCTTGCTATATTATATATTCACATGTTGAATAAGTACGCGATTTCTATAACCAAAAACACCTCCTTTGGCACCAATCCACATAAGCCAACCCAACCACAATATTATCAACAACTCATACCAAGCATGCCGATAAAGCATAACAAGAATATCTTTTTATATGCCTTGCAAAAAAAATATATCTTTATATGTAGCAATACAATAATTCACGTTATTCATTACAAGAAAGAAACTCTCTGTTACAAATGCAGATACTAGGGTTTCCACAGCTAGCCAATAACTAACCTTGAACATAGAATGATGCTGCGGATGGAAACCGTGATTGCTATAACCTATACCAGGCCCAGCTACAGTTGGGGCCACACCACTTGCCTTTGTTACTTCAAGAATCTCCTTCTTCTCCCCATCAACAGAAGCCTGCATTGCATCATCGCCCCAATCTTGATCCTCCATGGCCTGGTGATGATGACGCTGATCATCATCAGTAACAATAACCAGATCCTCATCATCCTCGTCACTGCCCCCTCCATCCCTCCTCTCTAGACCTAGCAGATCATGCCCAGTGTCGTTAAGAACAATCTGCAGATCGTCCTCGCTACCGCTATCCCAATCATCGCTCTCGGTAGTCTTTACGAGCACGCCGTTGGGAACTGCAGGACTTTCGAGACCAGGAATTACCGGTTCATCCTCGCGAACGCGTAACTGCTGCGTCTTCTCCAGGGACCCTTCCCCATCAACCATGTTCCCTTCCTGTTTAGAAATCCTACTAGCCTCGTCCGCATCATCCTTATCCAGAACCCTAGCCCCACCGCCTTTAGAGGATAAAGCCCTAACGGCGTCCTTTGAACCTCTATCCACGACCACTTCCTCATCATCGTCGACCCAATTCGCTGGTTCCTCAACGGGCACGGGGTCGCGACCAAGAAGCCAATCGTCGTCGGCGTCCTCGACGGAGACTTTGCGTTCACGATCTATGGAGGATGATTCCGGAACTGGTGCGAAGGGAAGGGAGGATCCGTGTTGAATATTGTCTTCCTCCTCGTCGGAGTCGCTTACGCCTCCGCTGGCGACCATGGAACGGGATTTTTGGTCTGCAGAGACCAAAGTTGGGACAGAGGATACGTGGAGTATGTCGGTGTAGAGATCTCCGAAGTCGTCGTCTTCATCCATGGCAATCGAATTTGAAGAAAGTGGCGATCACAAAAAGAGAGAAATCGCAAGGCGGCGATTCTGTAGAAGAGCCGGGGAAGACGGTATGCTAGGTGCTCAACCTGCCGGTTAAATTCTATAAGACCCCTATCACAAAAAATTGCAAAACCATACTTGTAGTAGCTTGGACGGGGCCTAACATCCCGCATTTAATTTGACCCAGTTTTAATTGTCTACCTAGATGGGCTAAAGGCAGTTCCACGAGCCCACTAGCAGCCCACAACCGTTCATTTCAACCTTTTTTAACTAAAAGTAAATACACACAAATGCACAGATATTTAGCAAGCAGTTGATGGATCAAGGGAGGGGGTGGACTCCTCTAACTATTTAAGAAAATCACTCTCATCGGGCTCACAGAGAACGCTCAGATTGATCAACATGCGTTACTCCCTTTGCAAGATGTGTTTGGAATTTCTTGCCAAGCTAGTAGCCCAACACTTCTCATGTACTTGGACCATTACATCAGTCACTCCCTCCCTCTCAAAGCGACCATCCTTACCAGACTTGCATACAAGAAATTGCGCACTCATGGGACCCTCAACTTACCTCAACGAGACCATCAAACTTGGAGCTCTCCATCATTGTGACAATACCTCACTCGCCTCCTCCCATGAGATCCAAGATCTCTCATATAGGTCACTAGTAATATTAATAAGCTCGGCAGCCTTCAGTCCCCTTTCATCTCAACACTCCCCACAGAGCTCATAGAAAACATTCATAGTGATCAATAGGCGTAACTCCATTTGCAAGGTGTTTCGGGGATTTCTCACCAAGCTAGCAGCCCAACACTTCTCATGTACTTAGACCACTACATCAGTCACTTCTTCCCTCTTAATGTGGAACTTTTATTCGGTCCGGTGAACGTGCGCTCCTCTACGTTCGGCCACCAATATTTTAGCGCCACGTAGCATGAAGAAAAGTCGCCGACCCGACCCTTAACTTTTATTCGGTCCGGTCAGAGGACGTAATAATTGTTCCTTAATGTGGCCATCCTCACTAGACACAGATACAAGAAAGTGCCTACTCACAAGACCCTTAACTTAGCTCACCA